CAACATAATCGTCCTTCTGAGACCGCTATTAAGAATTTGGTCGCTAAATTTGAATCGACAGGCTCGGTACAAAATGCGCCAACACTAACGCGTGTTCGACCGGGTCGTTCAACCAAAAACATCGCAGCCGTGAGCCACAGTGTTGAAGAAGATCCAAATTTGTCAATTCCTTGACGTTCTCAACAATTGGGGTTATCCAAAACCACCATATGGCGAATTTTGCGTAAGGATTTGGCTTTGAAGCCTTACAAGGTTCAACTGGTGCAGGAATTGAAGCTGACCGACCATTCACATCGCCGTAGATTCGCTCGATTCATTCAGGAACAGCCCGCTGGTTTTCTGAAAAAATCATTTTTTCAGACGAAGCCCATTTTCACTTGTCAGGGTACGTCAACAAGCAAAATTGCGGCATTTGGGCTTCTGAAAATCCTAAAGCGATTATTGAGAAGCCTTTGCATGCTCAACGTGTCACTGTATGGTGCGCTATGTGGTCTGGAGGCGTGATTGGGCCGTTTTTTTTTCGAAGATGAGGCTGGAAATGCGGTAACGGTCAATGGATCACGCTATCGCGAGATGTTAACATCTCAATTTTGGCCTATTATTGATGACATCGATATCACAAACATGTGGTTTCAACAGGACGGTGCCACATGTCACACAGCCAACGAAACGATCAATTTATTGCAAACCAAATTTCCCGATCGCATAATTTCACGAAATTCAGCTGTTAAATGGTCAGCCAGATCGTGTGATTTAACACCACTGGATTATTTTTTGTGGGGCTATGTTAAGGACAGAGTCTATACGGAGCCAATCGAATCGATCGCGGCCTTAAAACTCAAAATCCGTGACGTGGTTAACGAAATAGACCCGCCATTTTGCCAAAAAGTGATTAAAAACTTTGATGAAAGAATCGACATCTGTCAGCGTGGTCGTGGTGGATATTTGCCAGATATCATTTCTCATTCGTAATTGCCAAACTATTCTCTTCGTAATACAATAAAAATTTGAATCATCTTCATCTAAACTTTTTGTTTTATTTTGTTTTAGAAAACAAAGTTCTTGTTGAAAAACCCTTTACTTGAAGGAAATGGTTAATATGTATATTGAACACACACACAAACACACACACACACGCACACACGCACACACACACACGCACACACACACACACACACACACACACACACACACACACACACAAGCGCGCATAAAAAATGTATAAAGTAGATCCGTTATTGGCTGTAAGTTTATTTCTTAAGTTAATTTACATTGTAATTAGGGCAGTGGATCTTGTAATAATAAATAAATAAATAAATTATTAATGTCCGACGCAAAAAGAGGGGTGTTATAAGTTTGACCGCTATGTGTGTCTGTCTGTGTCTATATGTCTGTCTGTAGTACTGTAGCTCATAAATGGGTGAACCGTGTTGTTTTTTTATTTTGTATTTAATGTTGTTTTTTAACAGTGGTTCATAGACATGTTTTATCAAAATCGGTTAAGCCGTTCTAATAGTACATTAAAAACGTACGTTTCGAAAACCTAATTAAAAACCGTGTTTAATGTATGTATGTTGCTATCGTTAAAAAAAATGCAACGAAAACTAAGGATAAATACGGGCCGCGAGTTTTATACTTCTGACATCGGGCCGCGAGTGTCGCGAGTTTGATTTTGTAGTAGGAAGAAAATAAATATTTATGTATATTTTGTATATTTTGCCATATGTGTATTTTGTAGCCCGCCAATACAGTCGGTTGAGGAGCACTGCACTGCGCTGCTACTAGGTGCTAGGTAGTTGGCAACTTTGGCAAAATACCTATCTATCTAAACAATCAGAGTAGACAAGTAGGTATGTTTAGTAGGGCAAGGATAGGTAGAGAAAAAGGATAAGCTTATTGCTTACAAAAATACTTACATCGAAATGGTCTACACCAGTGTTTTCCAAACATTGTTCTGCCATGGCCCGGTAATTTTCACACTATACATTCGTGACCCACTTAATACTTTTAAACCAAAGCTGGTTCCATTAAGTAAAATAATACACATTTGATAATAGTAAAAATGTTTTAAAAATGAATGTTAACGATGCGTTGATCGATAGCAGGTATTATTTTTAAAACAAGGCGGGAATGTTGCGAGCCGGTATTTTATTTTGATGGCCCGGTATCGGGTCCCGACCCAGCAAATGGGAAGCGGTGGTCTACACACCAGTGCGCTTTAGTTTAGAGCCTATTGAATCGACTCTTTTTACCTGTTGAATTGAAGCACTGAGGCACAATACAGTTTATTTCCATTTTTACCACAGAGAACTTTAAAATTCTGATTTTTACTGCGGAGTGGCGTGCAGACAAGAGCGCGATTGTTGTATGAGCGGGAGTGTGACGTCATCACATAGTGAGGGCCCGCTCGCCTTTTTAAAAATCGTTGTTCGGAAACACACACGTTGATCGTTAATATCTCAGCCAATTTTTAAGATATGAAAAAAGTAAAAACACAGTTTTTCTCTTATTATTTTGTAGATTTATTTAGCATGTAAAGTAAAAAACGTTTGACAGACCCATTAAATTAATTGGTGAAGTTAAGCTGGCGTTAATTCTAAGCCAGCGCTTGACCACTATCCCACCTGATGGTAAATGGTGATGAAGCCGAAGATGGTAAAGCCGCACTAACTTAACAAAACAGATGTTGGCAAGGTATTCACTACGAACGATGAAGAAAACCGTTTGTTTCGAATGCATGGTAAGTCGACAACGAAAGGGTGGAGAGCAGGGAGCAAATACAAAGAGGAGACGGCCTAAGCAACTGTGCACTGTGATTCTAACTAGGTCCTGACGTCATCACAGTGGGCGTGGCTTTAGTTAGTATACTGTCAGCGTTCGTCCTGTGCGCTTATGTGTCGAAAATCGCAAATCGGTGTATTTTCGTAGTATTAAGAAGAAAAGGATGAAGTGTTGGGTTTTATCGTGTAAAAACTACTCAGATATACGCTCTGATGCTATGGATGTCATCACATTTCATTTGTAAGTAATTTTATACCTAATTTACTTTCAAATGTAATTAAATAAATTCGACACTAGATATCGACACTTTCTGTCATGGGAACTAAAATTATAAAAGTATGTAAAGCTCAGTATTAGTAAAATAATCATACGAAGGTGTTGAAATTTGTTTTGCATTCAGTCCTAAAGAATTTTTAATCGCCAAAATTATATTTTTGCAGTGTTTATAATCATTTTGTGAACAGGCCGCCATCTATCATCAAGGTACCTAAGCTACATTGCAACATCGATACGGAACGATGCGAGTACTTTTACTATTTATCGGTAGATGGAAAATTGTTAAGTAGGCGAGGCTTAACATCCCCTCACCCCGCAAATTGTCACTCGTTGTTACATAGTGAAATCCAATTACAACACCTCCTCTTTGTATTTGCTCCGTGGTAGAGACAGTCCCAGCGCCTGATTTTCCGATGGTGGAAGGAAGAGGGAGGAATTAGGTTACACAATTCCTGCGCATATAATATACACGTAATAGGATACTAGTTGATTCTATTTGCGTATTAAAATATAAAAATAAAATATAATAGTGAAAAACTGTAATTAAAATATAATATAATAAGTTTGACCGTGGGGTGACGGTAATCCATCACCTCATTCTTTCAATTAGGTGTCGGAAGAGGCGACTATCAGAACTCCCAAGAAGATCGTAAGACTTCCGATAGATGAAAAATATATATAGATATAAGATAATCAGACAATTTTTTTTTAAATATCTTCAATAAAATCTTTAAGCTTTTCGGATAAAATTTAGCCTAAATACCTCCTGGCATTACTCTATATGTTTGTGAAGTTTCATCACAATCGGTTCATTCTGAAGAATAGCATGGGCAGAGACAGACAGACAATTTATTATTATTTAAATATCGCTATTTCTATTTACGCAAAAAAAATAGTTATTTTAATATTACAGACCGTCCCTTCAATTTTATTTATATGTATAGATTTATTTTTTATTAAAAACATGAATGTAATGGTAAAAGAAAAAACTGGCCAAGTGTGTCGTCGGGCCACGCACAATGTAGGTAGCGTTTCGAAGTTGCCCGTCACAATACGTGCCCTATCTTGATAATGAGCATATTAAGTCAGTTCGCATTTGACCGCCATAATGACTAAAAATTGGCCTAAATAGGACGATTGTAACTGAAGTAGTGGTATTTTCCAATCAGTCTTATTATTATTGGTATTCAAAATATAAAAAAAGAGATTTTGAAAATTTTACTATGCATTCATATATTCCTGGCAGTGCAACCCTAAGATATAGTATATGATCGCAAGCAACCTTCCCGTAAACCATCACCGCCCTAAATTATCCTGAGGGTGGCCGGCGTAAACCAAGAGTACCATAAAGGAAACTGTACGAGGCTATATGATTGTATGAATACTTTGAATGAGGTCATCAATAACTTTTTACGTTAACTTTAATACGTTTAATTACCAACTAAAATATAAGCGAAAGTAGTAAGGGACACACATGACTAATGAAAAATACCACTTTAAAGCTAAATATTTCACAAACGGACACCTGAATCGAAAAGATGTTTTCTTCCACACCTCCAGTATTTTTGAAAGACCTGTCTAACGATACCCCACACGATATATAATACACTCGTAAAAAATATCATCCTGCATTTACTTGCATGGGAGGTACCCAAAATAAAAATATTTTATAACATTTTATTTCACAGTTTTGTAGGCGTGAGTATATATAACTATGCCAAATTACAGTTTTGTAGCATCACCGGTCTCTTAGTAAAACCACGGACGGACGGACGTACATGGCGAAACTATAAAGGTTCCTTGTTGTTTAACTACGGAACCCTAAAAATAAAATAATCTGTCTGGTCTGGGTAGTGCGATGGCCAGAAAGTTGTTAATTGAAACTAACTTAAGAAACTGAAAAATTAGAGCTCAAAATATCACTTTAAACATAGTGTACATACCAACAGCAATATAGCCGGCTTGTACCGGTGCCAGCAGGCCACTGAACTTGCACAGCGTCAACAGCAGCGTGTCCAAGGTCATGGTGTCCGGCTGCAGCCTGGCCACGAGGGCCGCACAACGCTCGAGCCCATTCAGCGCGACCAGAGCGATGCAGTCTCGACAGTTGCTCTCTATTTCTTCGCTCGTGGGTTGAGGAGCGCGTTCGTACGCCGCTGACAGTGCTGATACCTACAATAGTTTAATAATTATTATTTATTCGATTATGAATTTTAGAAAGCTTACGAGTTTCTTAAATATGCAGATTCTTAACAAAATAACAAAAACTGCTAATTAAAGGCCTAAAGATTTATTTTGCAATTACAACTGACATTTTTATTATTTAACGTTTTTAAAAAAGAATGTTTATTATTTTTAGGCAGTGCTTGACTATAATCCCAATTCATCATCATCATTCATCATTACAGCCCTTCACAAGTCCACTGCTGAACATAGGCCTCCCCCAAAGAATGCCACAAAGCACGGTCCTGAGCCACCTGCATCCATCGACTTCCTGCAAATCTTACCAGGTCGTCACTCCATCTAGTGGGGGGACGCCCTACACTTCGCCTGCCGGTACGAGGCTGCCACTCGAGAACCTTTCTTCCCCATCGGTTGTCGGTTCTTCGAGCTATATGGCCGGCCCATTGCCACTTCAGCTTACTAATCCGTTGGGCTATGTCGGTCACTCTGGTTCTACTGCGGATATCCTCATTTCTGAGTTTATCACGCAGAGAAACTCCGAGCATAGCCCTCTCCATAGCTCGCTGAGCGACCTTGAGCTTCCTCATCCGGCCAGCAGTGAAGGACCACGTCTCAGTTCCGTATGTCATCACTGGCAACACGCACTGGGTGTACAGTCTCGTTTTCAAGTTTTGAGGTATACCTGACGAGAAGATGTGTCGTAATTTCCCGAACGCTGCCCAACCGAGTTGAATCCGTCGATTGACCTCTCGGTCGAAGTTGGACTTACCTAGTCGGACTATAATCCCAATTGGTAAATGGTAATTTGGATTGGTTGAAAATGTGGATGGATGGATCCAATTATTGTGTTTATTTTATTACGAACGAAACATTTGTTTAACAGTTTTTGTTAGCGCCAAACGCTAATTTTAGGAATTGACGCCAGAGGGCGCTCGGCGCGGTGCATTCGTACCGGTTTGACGTTCGCGCGAGCAGAGTTGGTTTTGGGTGTGGCGCGTCGGAAGTTAGCAATGCAGCGCAGTCACTAGAACGGCGTGGTCGCGTCCCGTATAACCTAAACTCTCTCTAAATAGTGTCGGTTTTTGTTAGCAAATTTATGCAACGACGAGGAGTTTTGTTGAGTCTAGAAACATAAATGTCTGCGCGGACGCCGGGTCGGTTAATTGTTTTGGAAGTTAATATTGATTGCGATCAACGTCCGGTTTTTGAAGCGTGTGGAATTTACTATTGTAGTTTTCGCTAGACTCGTGAGGTCGCTTTAAGATCGCTTCTACTTTGAGTTATCATTTTTAGTGCGTTTACGCGATAACGAATGATTGCATTTTGAAGCGCATTGCTGTATTTAACTTGCTTGAGTGGCCTGTTAATATCGTACGAAATAATTCTAGTTTGTTGTGAGGAACGCTGAACTTTGTGACCCGAGAAGAGATCGCGTTCTTGCTCGTGGTTGTAATTTGTTGCTAAGTGAAAATGGAAGTTGAACTTCGATCGCCCGTTCATTAGTTGTACCGTGTGTCACGTGTTTGATTTCGATGAACGTTGAATTGGTTGACTTTGAAGTTAATTATATGTACAATAAAGATGATAGACTGAAATAGTGAAATGAAGGCAGAAGTCAATTGGTGATCTACGACTGGAGGGAGCGCACATTGGGAGAACATCAGCTCCGGTGGATCTTCTGTCCGATTATATCGGACCGTCAGGTCACATATAAACACTACTACACACTACTGTGCATGTAGCACCTCACTTATCACCTGACTGGTACCCTGTGGTCAACCCTACCTCCTGAAATAGGTAAGTGCTTGCTTATTTGTCAGCAGTTTTTTGAACGTTTATCCATAGGCCGTTGGGCACCGTCCTCTGTTGCCCGTCGATTGGATTACTGATGGGCCCTAGTCCAGTCAACCTTTGTAGGGACAACTCAGGGCGTGAACAGTTTTCGTTAGTGTTAAAATGGACTTGGAACAGTCATCCAAGACGACACTATTGCAATGTGCGGCCTATTGTGTATAGGTGTATATGTGTGCGTGCGTACATACGGCGGGCGGCAGTGTGTGTGCGTGCGTGTGTACATTTGCGTGTGTACGTGCGTACGTACGTACAGCGGGCGGGCAGGCGGCGGGCAGCAGGCACGCGTGCAGCATGTGTGAGTGCGTGCGTGTGTACACGTGTGCGTGTGTGCGTGCGTGTGTACGTGTGCGTGTGTGTGTGCGTGTGTACGTACGTACGTACGGCGGGCGGGCAGGCGGCGGGCAGCAGGCGGCGGGCAGCAAGCGCGCGTGCAGCGCGTGTTGGGCGGTGGTGGATGCGTGCGTGTGTACGCGTGTGTGTGTGTGTGTGTGTGTGTGTGTGTGTGTGTGTGTGTGTGTGTGTGTGTGTGTGTGTGTGTGTGTGTGCGTGCGTGAGTACGTACGGCGGGCGGGCAGGCGGCGGGCAGCAGGCACGCGTGCAGCGCGTGGCTTGCGGCGGTGTGTGTGCGTGCGTGTGTACGTGTGCGTGTGAGTGTGCGTGTGAGTGTGCGTGTGTGCGTGCGTACGTACGGCGGGCGGGCAGGCGGCGGGCAGCAGGCGGGCGTGCAGCGCGTGGCGGGCGGGCGGCGCACGGTATGCGGCGGCAGGAGTGCGCGCGCGACGCTGCAGCACGCGCCACAGGTACGCGTCGCGCACCGGACCCACGCGCTCCGCCGGCATCACCATTTCCTCGTTCCTGCGCACCGGCCACCACACTATTGTACATGGTACGTCGACTCTCACGCACACACAGCACCAAGTTATACGTGGATCCACACACATTTGCTTGATCACACAGACATCTATTTAAGATAAAGAACCAAAACCCAAATATGTTATCATCATTATCATATAATTACAGCCCTTCACAAGGCCACTGCTGAACATAGGCCTCCCGCAAGGAATGCCACGAAGCACATATGTTATCACCCACTGAGAATTAACTCTTTAGCAGCAAAGAGTAGAAATAAATGTTTAACTGTGGTTTTAGACTTAAAAAAGACATTTGACACCGTCTCTGTTCCCACTTTTGTACAAAAGCTCGAAAGAATTGGATTAATAGAAAACTAATTGAAACTTTTGAGAGATTGCTTAAATGGTCGCGCAAGCAAAATCATAGAAGTGTAGTATATCAGTGATGATCTCCAAATAGCTTACGGTGTACCACAGGGTAGTGTGTTAGGGCCTGTACTATTTCTGATCTACAAAAGTAATCTATGAAATCTTCAAATTGATAATGGGTATACACTTTTATATGCTAACGAAACTCCAGTTTCTACTGACTACACATGGGAAGGAAAACGAAATAGCTGAAAAAGGCCTAGCCTAAATATAAATACTATTAGAATAATGATGACCAGAGGCACTGTCATCTTGAAATAAGTAGTAGCGGAATACAAAAAATTATTTCTTAATTATATTGCCACAAATAAACTTTTAAATCTTATATCGTATCGTACTTTGCTCTTACGCTCTTGTTTAGATATATTACATACTTGTTTGGGCTAGAACTTCTAAAATGAAGTTTTTAGATCTGGAGCGAACTTAAACGTCCCTTATAAAAGTTATGTGTGCCTAACAGAGTTGCCACCGAAAAGCTTACATTACATTATTTTATATAACATTTCATTAGTCAAGTGCTTGGTTTATGAAAACTTTACAAAATTCATATTTTAATAGACAAAAATTAAAATTTTATATGATCCTAACTTGGAATGAAAAAATCCTACTAATAGCAAATTATTAGGTTTTTTGTCGTCATTGCAACAGCCAATAACCATACTATTCATGCTTTTACCAATCGACCCTGTTAGTGTGAAATACATATATGACATTTATTTTTAATTGTAATTATTTTATTATGTCAAGATTTAAGATAAATTTATACCTATCATTGTTTGTACAACGTTAAATAGGTCAAAATGATTTATCAAAAATTCTTTAATTTAAATCTAAATATTTTAGTTTTACTTAAATAGTGACTGAGGCACATCATCGTCTATTTTTATTTCTGTTTCATCATCATGAGCCATAATGTGCCTCATGATGATGAAATGACCTGATCAAGGAACTATTACATACATAATATAAAGATTCACTGTTCATTACTAATAATCACCCACGTCGCCTTTAAAGAGATCTAATAGGACAATAAAAATACAATAAATTAATATATAGACCATCATGTATACTCACTTGATAGCGTGGAAGATAGCTTCGAGCATAGCCTGATCGAAGTCTCCAGAGCCGTTGCAACCGCGCAGGTTCTTAACGAAATCGTCAACATTCATGGGCACGTTTAGTTTCTTCGCGTTGTGGTTGTGCTGGTCCATGTTTAGCATGATAATGGCGTAAGCGAGACGGAAGGCTGCATCCGTATTCGCGAACGGCTCGCCGTTAGTTGTCTGAAATGGCGAAAATTTAGATGGTGGATAGTGTTAAATACAAAGTATCTCGACGCAAGTTTTTAATTAATTAAAGAACATCTAATCGGTGATACACGTAACATGTAACTTTATGCATATTATGTGTGTCAGCGTATAAAGCTATTATGCACTGGGGCGGTGCGGTGGGTTAATTATTAAGACTGTAGTCCTTCTGTAGGAACTTCTAATCGAACACCTACATTGATATTTTCTAGCCACACAGACGCATCTCGCAGTGTTAGTATACGCACCCTGGACATGAATAAATTACTTTTGGTGTTTTGCACAAGTTACGTGAGAAAATTTTAATATTGATCGATTTTGATTTAACGATTTTTTCTACGCCACCGAATGGCTTTACTACAGTACATTCGGTATCGTGTTGTTGGACGCCTAAACAATGACAGCATTCCTTAGTTATAAAATGGCTTTGAGACGCGGAGTGTAATAATATGCGAATTGTTTCTCTCCCTTAGCGTCGTGTGCAAAGACTTGTGCGGTTGATAATAAAACAGTCTTCTGCAAACAACTTACGCGCGGGGGGGGGGGGGGCGGTGAATGTTGGGAAACCTTCGTGAACGAAGTACACAGAGCGACGTTCGAACGCACATCCGAGGTGAGAGGTGGCGAGTATGTGGGCGCTGTGGGCGCGGGAGTTGCAGTCTTAAGCACAGCTTGCTGAGGCTGAGGCGGAGGCAGCGCAGTGGTAGAATTATCGCTTCCACGCTGGATATGCAACAATGTATGATACTTAAATTTACAAACTCGACAACTAAAGTTTGAATAGCAATTAGATACTCGATGACTTAAGCTGAGACAATTCACACACTTAAATAAATGCTGGTGCACAATATTATCACACAGGCACTTCTTTGAACGACTAGTCGTCGTATTTACGTATGCCTGATACTTCGGCGACGAAATATTATTACAGCGACGATTATTATTATTACCTCGTCGACTGTTTGATGGACTACTAGTTTGTACTAGAATCGGTGCATTGCAGAACTTTAGAGCGGGTTTTAATAAAGTTTACTAAATCATCAAAGGTAGGTATAATCGAGTTATGATTGTATTCGAAAGATCGAATAGTATCCGAGTCGAGCTTCTTTAGCGCGATATGCAGAACAATTAAGTCCGCGAGATTATCCAACTTTAAGTTTTGTAAAGCGCACACTGAACTTATAAAGTTATCAGTAAATAAATCAAAGGTATTTGCTGTGGACGATTGCAATGGCTTAAACTCGAACATCTGATTTATATACGCGGAGGCTAGCATACGCTTGTCTTCGTATTTATCAATGAGTGTTTGCAATAATGTTTTATAATTTTCAGCGCATGGAGTTATACCTGAGCACACAGATAGAGCCTTTCCCGTCAGTTTACCTAGCAGATAGTATAAATTTTCAGCTAGTGAGTGATGGGTTGTCATGGACGGTTGATTTAAAGCTGGCATAAAATAAAGGCCATGAGCGCATGTCACCCGAAAACGTCATAAGTTCGATAGACGGAAGTGTAAGCCTAGCCTTAGATGGGGTACTAGTATTTCGTAAAGTAGTAGACTGCGAATATTGTAAATAAAGCCGATTTATTTTACCGTAAAGAGACTCAAACGCAATAAGGCTGTTAGAGTTACGCTTAGCGATAGGATTTATTTTCAATAAATGCGAATTATAGTTATCTACAATCTGTTCAAATTTAATACGTAATTCATTAATATTAGAACTCTCGTCGAGAAAACGTTCCATGATAGAAATATTTGTATGGATGTTCAAAGACATATCACATATTTTTTGCACTATTTCAAATATAGGATCGCGTTTAGCTAACAATAAAATCAACTCGGCGACAGATGTACCCTCGTTATCCGAGGAATCGCTGTTGTTCGATATAATTTGTTTCTCAGGCGGCATTACAGCTAAAGTTGTAACGGCAAAATATAACTGTAAGTGAGCAAAACGTAATCTGCAATAAAATATGCGACTTCCCTACGAGGTCGAGTTACGTATCGTTAATAACTAATTTTATTAATGATGAACTTTAAAATGTTAATTTCAATAGGAAATTATGTAGATATTAATAACGAATATAAGACTTAAATAATTAGTAAATAATGTAAATAGGGGAAGTAATTTAACAGTATAATCTATAATTGTAATTAGAAGTTGATGACATAATGTCATACAACAAAAGGGATTAAAATATAGAAAAATATTCTACAATTATAGTTTTATAATAAGTATATATTGATGTCACTTATTAGGGCCGATTGTACTATTCTAATAAGTGTGGAAGGTCAATACAAGGTCGAGTGACGACGCACTGTCACGTAACACGAAAGGTTGAAGTAGATATTAATCTACAATTATAGTTTTCTAATTAGTATTGTTGTCGTTTAATAGAACCAATTTTATGTATCACCCTAACAAGGGCGGAAGGTCAATCCAAGGTCGAGATGGACCAGTAAAATGGTCAATCCGGCCGAAGGACCAGTAAAATGGACGATCCGGCTCGAAGGACCAGTAAAAATCGACGCGCCAATAACTTGAGTTCTTCGATAAAATTTTGTGGACTGTATTTGGTACATACAACAAGCAGAGCAAGGAAAATGGATGAGAGTGGAATGCACGTCCCTTGTGAGGGACTGCCTCGCCTTCCTCCCGAAGCGTCAGCTGATCACCACGTGGATCGGCGCCCGCACTCTTAGATCAGTTCTAGGATATCACGCACTTCTCAACTCTCGACTTATTGTAATCGCGGAAAGCGCGTCACATTTGTGAAATTACAAGGACGCAATGTTCGGTGATAAATTAATATTAAAGCGGGGGGGGGGGGGGGGGGGGGCGAAGGACGTGTATACCGGCGTGAAGTAGAGGCTCTGCTTCTGAGTTTCGTCTGGTGAGTGCAGGTGGCCGGAGGCCCAATTCCCCCCCCCCCCCTTCAACATGGTAGCGGAATTACACGCAAGACTACCCCAGGAGGGTACCAGCACCCCTGGAGAATCCCTCGCTGAGCATCCACGACCATGTTATTCCAATAACCCTCCTGAGCGTGGGTGCTCAGGCTGCCCCGCGTATTCTAGGGGGGGGGGGGGCAAAATTCCGCTCAAAAACATAACTGCTCGGGGCAAACTGAGCAACAATACCAAGGCGACCCCTGTCACGCTATCCGTGAATTTCTGCAACATCAGGGGACTTCACTCTAACCTAAACGCCGTCCACTACCATCTCGAGACGGCGAAGCCGGCCTTGCTCTTTCTGACCGAGACGCAGGTTTCCTCTCCGGCTGATATTTCGTATCTCTCCTACCCGGGGTACAAACTGGAGCACTCCTTTGTGCCTCGGGCTGGAGTTTGCGTGTATGTCAGAGAGGACATCTGTTCTCGACGCCTCGGCAGTCTTGAAGGTTCGGACCTGTCCATCCTTTGGCTACGCGTAGACAGCGACGACCATCCGCGCGTCTACGGGTGCCTCTATAGGTCCCATAGCGGAAATGCCGAAACAGACCGACTCTTCGACCACGTCCAAATGGCTACAGATTCCTTGCTACAACAGGTCCCATCCGCAGAGATCGTGATCCTTGGCGATTTTAACGCCCACCATGCCCAATGGCTTGGTTCACGTTTAACCGATCATGCGGGGAGATCTGTTTATGACTTTGCCTTGGCATATGCTCTGACACAACTGGTTACTTCGCCTACGCGGATTCCAGATGTGGAGGATCATACACCTTCCCTGTTGGACCTTCTGCTGACCTCTCATCCGGACGGATATCAGGTTTCCGTCGATGCCCCTCTCGGCTCTTCGGACCATTGTCTGATCCGGAGTGTGGTGCCACTCACGCTCCCTCCGCGGTTGCGTTCTGCAGGTTGCCGCCGTGTTTGGCATTACAGGTCGGCAGATTGGGATGGAATGCGGTCTTTCTTTGCATCCTACCCATGGCGGCGGGTTTGCTTCTCGCCGGATGATCCCAGCGCTGTTGCTGACTCTGTCACTGATGTGGTGCTACAGGGAATGGAACTATTTATTCCATCATCTGTGGTACCCATCGGAGGCAGATCTCAGCCTTGGTTTGGTCGCTCCTGTAAGACTGCATTACGCAGTAAGAAGGAGTGTTATCAAGCCTGGGCTGCGGCTTCGGCGACTCGGGATGTAAACACCAGCTCACTTAAAAAGAAGTATAACTTCGCCTCCAGGTCCTTCAAAAGAGTTATTGCCAAGGCAAAGTCAGAGCACATAGGCAGAATTGGCGAGAAACTAGTTCGCCTTCCTTCGGGGACCCGTGCATTCTGGTCTCTCGCCAAGGCTGTCCAAGGGAACTTCTGTAAGCCATCACTACCATCTCTGCACAGGGAGGACGACTCACTGGCCCAAGACGCAAAAGACAATGCTGACCTTTTAGGCTCCTTTTTTGCGTCCAACTCGACTCTTGATGACGGGGGGAAAACACCGCCGACCATCCCGCGGTGTGAGTGCCAAGCCGGATGTGCTGTTCTCACCTTGGTTCGCAAAGCACTTCTCCCTGGACATCCAGAAGTCGAGTGGGCCTGACGGAATCCCCCCAATTGTGCTGAGGACGTGTGCTCCGGAGTTGGCACCGGTCCTAACGCGTCTTTTCCGGTACTCCTACTTCCAAGGCGTAGTCCCGAATTCATGGAAGACAGCTTTTGTCCACCCGATCCCTAAAAAAGGCGACCGCTCAGACCCGTCCAACTATAGGCCTATCGCGATCACCTCCTTGTTCTCCAAAATAATGGAATCCATTATTAACTGCCAGCTCATCCGGTACCTTGAGGATCACCAGCTGATTAGTGACCGCCAATACGGTTTTCGTCGGGGTCGATCAGCTGGTGATCTTCTGGTCTACCTGACCCATAGATGGGCGGAGGCAGTAGAGTCCAAGGGGGAGGCGTTGGCCGTTAGTCTGGACATTACGAAGGCCTTCGATCGGGTTTGGCACAAAGCGCTTCTTTCGAAGCTCCCTTCCAATGGGCTTCCCGAGAAATTGTGCAATTGGATCACCAGCTTCCTTGCAGATCGGAGCATCAAGGTCGTTGTAGACGGTGCATGTTCTGACTACAAGCCTATTAACGCTGGTGTTCCACAAGGCTGTGTGCTATCACCAACGCTGTTTCTTCTGCATATCAATGATATGTTGCTAACTGGTAACATTCATTGCTATGCGGATGACAGCACTGGTGATGCTCTATACACTGGCCGTGCCAATATTTCTCGGGAAAACGTCGCCGAGTACCGGATCAAACTTGTGTCTGAAGTCGAGTCTTTGCTGAACAAAGTCTCGGATTGGGGGCGACTAAATCTAGTCCAGTTTAATCCTCAGAAGACACAAGTTTGCGCGTTTACCGCTAAAAAGAACCCCTTTGTCGTATCTCCTCAGTTTCAAGGCACTCCCCTTCTTGCCTCAGCCAGTATCGGTATCCTCGGAGTCGACATATCGAGTGACGTGCAGTTTCGTGGTCACTTGGAAGAGAAGGCCAAATTGGCCTCTAAAAAGCTTGGCGTGCTCAGCAGAGCGGGACAGTATTTCATGCCGGCACACCGCCTGCAACTTTACAAGGCGCAGGTTCGGCCTCACATGGAATACTGTTCCCATCTCTGGGCAGGGGCTCCCCAGTGCCAGCTCCTTCCACTTGACCGCATCCAGCGCATAGCGGCTCGAATCGTCGACGACCGAGCCCTTTCCGATCGGCTCGATTCATTGGCACTGCGAAGATATCCCTTTGCATTTTCTTTCGCATCTACCATGGGGAGTGCTCTGAGGAATTGTTCGGATTAATCCCAGCCGCCAAATTTCACAAACGCACATCGCGGCAGAACTCCCGATACCATTCACACCATCTGGATGATTGGCGGTCCACTACTGTGCGATTTAAAAGATGTTTTCTTTCTCGCACGACTTCCTTGTGGAATCGATTACCATCAGCGATTTTCCCGGACCGATACGACTTAGGGACCTTCAAGAAAAGAGCGTACTCCTTTTTAAAAGGCCGGCAACGCATCTGCAATTCCCTCCCTGGTGTTGCAGTTGTTCATGGGCGGCGGTAGTCACTTACCATCGGGTGAGCCGCATGCTAGTTTGCCCCCTCTCCTATAAAAAAAAAAATATGTGATGTCCTCGTGTAGTGAGTCCTCGTAAGTATTTGTATAGCTTATGAATAATGGTTCCGGGTCTGAATGTTTGTCCTCGTGAAATTTATGTATGTAAACAGCCCCCACAATACAGGAGAAATTCATAATGTGGAGACAGTGACGTATTATCTACAACGTACTAGAAGAGACACTGAGACGTAATTGTTTGCCACGTAAGTTTGTTAAACCCCACGGGCTTAAACTCACTTAATCTGTGCCATAGAATAGGTACTCTGTGCCTCCAACCACGAGCCCCACACTGCTGCATAGATTTTGTTCGTGGTGTCTGTTCTAGTACGTAGTGGATATTAGTTGAATGTGTGGAGATAACGTGTTGTGCAGAAGCGTAAGCGTGTGCGTGTACTGACGTGCCAGCGCTCGGCGAACTTCTCCATGACGAGGAAGATGAGCGGCGCCTCGCCGGGCAGGCGGAAGGTCTCGAGGTAGAGGCGCAGCGCCTGGTCGATGCGCAGCTGCGAGTACTCGAAGCTCTCCGCGAACGCGGACAGCACCGACACGCCCCCCTCCTCCTCGTCTCGCGACGACCGCTTGCAGATGTATTCGCCTGCACCAATCACGGCTAATAATCTTCCGCTCACCAGATATCGCTACTTGAGACTGAGGTGGAGTTACACCATTGGTCATCAAACGTTACTCAATTTTAAGATGTTAAATCTCGTGGTGTCACGGTCACTTTGATTTAAAGTGATAGAGACAGCACGAGAAGAAGAAAATATTCCCATTGAAGAAAATAGCCTACACCGTCAATGATTACATTATAATACGACCCACTGCTGGACACACGAACTCTCTAATTTCTGAGAAGGATATGGGGCGATTAATCCGCCGCGTTACTTCACTGTGTCAAGGCTATATGTCCTCAAAATATTTTGTTCATCGACATGCAGGTGATAAAGGTCGGAATTGCAATTAACAATTTCATTGATGTCAGCAGAAATCGAACCCGGATTAACATACTGTCAAATTTACAACCGGCGCTTAACCCCTGAGCTAATACTGTTATCTTATTATACGATAAATATTTAAAAAAAAACACACAATTATTGCAAGTTTGGTAAAGTTTTCAAAATAATTGTTGGTATATCCATTCCCAAAATACGGAAGTAAAATTCTACAGACTCTCTATAAACAATGTTATCATTAAGGGAATTTTGGCTCTCTTGACGATCCAACAATTCACTTACTAAAAAAGGCTATCATAGAAGGCATCCTACTAATATTATAAACGTGAAAGTCTGTGAGGATGAATGGATGTATGAAAACACTACAGAATGTATTTTAATGAAACTTTACAATAATATGGCTCATACGTCAGAACAACACATAGGCTAAATGTTAAGTAAGTCTGAAAAAACATGTCATCTGCGAGCTATTTTGGCGTGTGGTGCAATTTTTTCTCCTAAATAGTTCAAAAAAAAGGCCGCGGCCATTATTATTAACATAGTGAACTATAAATACAATGACATTTGATACTTTATTTCCAATGCACATTTTGCAGTAAAAAATTGATTTCATCAGAATAAATACTTTAATCGCTTCTGATATTCAAATTAAATAAACTTTGCCTTTTAAACTACGTAATTTGGTCAAGTATTATAAAGGTAACGACGATATAAAATTGTGCGGTCCGTCGCGCGCAGGACGGTAGGGCGTACTGCGGGCGTGGTGGGGGGAACCATCATTTATCGCCGCGTGAGCAAATATACCTCTTCACGCTTAAACCGCTGAACCAATTTATATGAAATTTGGTATTAAGATAAAGTAAGTCCCGGGGAAGGGAATAGGATAGCTTTGATCACGGAAATGGTGCAATTACCTAAAGAGGGTGGTGAAATTTACTATGAAAGTGCGATAATTAATTGATCACTTCTAAATAAAAGTTAGTATAAAGATGAAACAAGTGTTACCTGACCTAAAGTCTTTTAAATGACAATTTGACAATTTTTAAATATTGAAACAACAGTAGCTTTATAATTACAAGGTACGGACTGCGCGAAATTAAAAAGTTGTGAATTTAAATCCGCCATTAGTCTAGTGTCTTTAGTTGAAGGACTAGTATTAATTAATAATTAGAATTTTCTTCTTAAATTTAAATCTTGGATCAAAATCCTCTGAAAGGCATAATTTTTGGCTTCTTGGCGCAATGGCTTAGGAGTCGCGACGCTGAGGACCGCTGGTTCGAATCCCGCACAGAACAAGTATTTGTATAACCTACAAATAATTGATTCGGGGATCCTGCATGTTGCGGGTGTTGTCCTTGTGGAATTTATATATGTGAACTGTTTCTAGGAAAGGGTTTAGGGGTAACGTTTTATAAAAAAAAAATGACACCCACCTATCATTTTCTTATCCAAGTCGGGATTTTCTCGTAGGAATATAGCGACTTGGTGAGGATCGAGCGGGCTGGCCAGTACGCCGTGCTCCTGCAGGAACTCGATGCCGCGGTCCGGTTTCTGGTTGAACAGCTCTGTGCCCTGCCGCACCCACTGCAACAAATTAAGTTTATTTATTTATTTTATTTTATACCCTTTATTGTTAACACCTTAATAAATGGGGTGACAAAGGGCGAATTAATGCATATCGACATTCTCAGCCAGTGAACTCGTGAATTTTGTGGCCGGTGCAATTACATACATATTCACTATGATATACATATAACAGTAATTTTATCGTTTTATGAGATCCCTGTCCAACAGTGGACTGTTTAGGAGCTGATAAAGAATATAAAATGGAGAGAAGAGGAATTCTTGTCTCCTACCCGGCTTAACATATGCAAGCTTGGCACAGGCCTCCTCTCATTGCTGAGAGAGTTATAGGGCAAGGCCTCACTGGCCGCAATGGGTGTAGGAAAACTTCACATGTTTGGAAATATATTTTTAATTTTTCAGACATGCAGGTTTCCTCAGCAAAGCTGTGACATGACGTTATACGTGATCTTCGTTTTGTCCATGTTCATCTTAAGACCTATCCTTTGGGAGGCACTATTGAGGTCATTGAGCATAGTGCTTTGGCAGCGATTCTGCCATAAAGACTATATCGTCGGCAAATCGAAAGTGAGTGACGTAGTCGCCATTGATGTTAATACCGTATCCTTTCCAGTCCAGAAGCTTGAAAACGTCTTCCAATGCAGCGGTGAAGAGTTTCGGGGATATAACGTCACCCTGGCTTACACCTCTCTGCAATTGGATAGGTTTCGTACTCTGGTTCTGTACTCGGATAGCCACCGTAGCCCTATTGTACAACCACTTCAGCACTTCGATATACCGACAGTCAACTTGGCACCGCTGAAGGGACTGCAGCACCGCCCAAATTTCGACGGAATCAAAGGCTTTCTCATAGTCCACATACGCCAGGCATAGTGGCAAATTGTACTCTTCGGACTTCTGTACAACTTGCCGAAGGGTATGTATGTGGTCTATGGTGCTAAAGCCCTTTCGGAAACCGGCTTGTTCGGGAGGCTGGAAGTCGTCAAGTCTGCGTGCGAGACGATTCGTCATGACTCTCCAAAACAGCACGTAGACGCGGCTCAGAAGGGAAATCGGTCTGTAGTTCTTCAAGAGAGCCTTGTCACCTTTCTTGAAGATCAAGACCACCGCACTGTTGCTCCACGCCTCCGGTGTAATGCCACCATGGAGAACGTAATTAAAGAGCCTCTGAAGGACTTCCAGTACCGGTTTTCCACCCGCTTTCAGAAGCTCCGCTGTAATTCCATTCTCGCCTGGGGCCTTGCCGTTTTTAAGATGCTGGAGAGCCATTCTAATCTCGCTCAGACTGAAGTCCGGGATATCTTCGGAATAGTGTCGGATAAGACTCGCTCTTGGATCGTTACTCACACTTGTGTGTGGCTCCAACGATGACGTGTACAGCTGTCCATAGAACCTCTCAATCTCACTCAAAATCTCAGGTGCCCCGAAAACGATGCTGCCACACTCGGTCTTCAGCCTTGACAGTTGGCTCTTTCTGGCAGACAGATCTCTGGCAGACTTTGGAGCCTTGGTTCCGCTCGATCGCTTCTTCAATACAAGCTGTATTGAAGTTCCGTAAGCCCCGCCGCATGCATTTGGAGATCTGTCTGTTCAGTTGCCTGTATGCTGTCAAATCTGTTGAAGAATGTAGCTTCATCTCCCGTCTAACAGCCATGAGATTAAGAGTGTGATCGGAGAGTTTTTGTGTTCTTCTGCGGCGGGTCTTGCAGAACTGAGCTCCGACCGCATGGACAGTTTCCACGAGCTTGTCATTCATATCGTCCACTTCATTGCAGTCTTCTAGGCACTGAAAACGGTTTTGTTACTCGAGCTGAAAGGTTTCAGGACTTTGGAACAGAGCACGAGGGGGACGGAGCGTTGACTTCATTAGACGAGACCTCTCCAACTTAACGTTTAGGTTCAGTGTGCCTCTAACCATTCGGTGATCGCTACCAGTTTTCAACCTCACGATCACGGAGACATCACTGAACAGTTGTCACCTGGTCGTCTTAATGAAGTCAATCTCATTTTTTGTCGAACCGTCGGGGCTCGCCCAGGTCCACTTCCTGTGGAGCCGCTTCTGAAAGAAAGAATTCATCATAAAGAGTCCCTCTTTCTCCATGAAGTCGGCCAGCTGCTGGCCCCATGAGTTCCGTTGCCCTATTCCAAAAATCCCTACTTTCAGCTCACCGTTCTCTCTTGTGCCTAGTTTTGCATTGAAGTCTCCCATTAACACCATATATTGGGTTTTGGAGGAATGCATGGCTCTAGAGATATCCTCATACATTTCTTCCACCTCCTCATCGGGGTGTGCCGAGGTTGGTGCGTAAACCTGTATGAACTTCAGCGAATACCGTTTGGTGATTCTGAGTATAAGGTACGCAACCCTCGTCGACACACTCCCATCAACATCTTTACAACGTTGTTAACGAGAGACTTATGGACAATAAATCCGACACCTCCTTGGGACAGATGGTCGCCCTCCCGGTGATAGAGCAAGTTGCTGGATTCGAGGATTACCGTGTCCTCCCCCTCTCTTCGGACTTCGGATAATCCTATAATATGCCAGAGTTACTTGTCTATCTCTTCTTCCAGCTCCACGATCTTCTCGTCAGTCCTCAGGGTGCGTGCGTTGTACGTTGTCAGGTCGAGTCGTCTAAGGTGGCAACCGAACCTCCACCGGAGATTCTTAGCACCCCCTGCCCCGTCGTTACCATGGTCGCCACCGTAGCCAGGAATAGCGGGGCCGCCGGGGACTGGGTGCCGTCTCCTTGTTACTCTCTTCATAGGGGGGTATTTGCCACGCTTGGCGAGCGGGTTGGCAACCGCAGTTTTTTTTTATTTAATTTTGGCTATTATCAGGAAAATGCTGCTGCCCATCTCCTGCCAGTTTCCCCACCAGTAAGAGTCCACTGAGTCAGTAATTCATTCTTGAGGCGATGTATACGCTTTTACAACAAAATTCCAGAAAATATACAAAATTTGACCTGATCAAACTTCAAAAACTTTTTTTGTATAAAAACGGTTATTATAATATTAATCAACTTATGGATGATAATAACCCCTAGGAATGAGATGATCACTACCAAGCTATTTCTAATTTCTTGCGTTGTTAATTGTGTAACATACATGATTGTAAGCTGTTATTTAAAAAAAAGTTCCGCTGGGTTTTTCTTGCTGGTATCTTCCCAGGACAGAGGTTTTCTTTCGAACCAGTGGTAATTAAACAAAAGAGTGACTTTCAATAAGTACTATTGATAATCTTTATTGAATTAAAACAGTTTCTGTTTCTGTTACTGCCTCATGAGGATATTTGCCATAGTTGCCATGCTTGTCAAGTGGGTATTACAATATTAAGGGGATATTAAGGAATTTATAGATGAGTGTTATATCTCCTGAGAATGAGGATGTCGCTACCAACCTATTTCTTTTTTCTTTAGTGTTGTTAATTGAGTAACATATATGATTATAAGCTGTTCTTTTTTTTTTCAATAAATAGGGTCCCGTTGGGTTTCTTACTGGTTCTTCCCAGGACAGAGGTATTGTCTTAACCAGAGGTAAATTAAACATAAAAGTAAATTTCAATTAGTAATATTTACACTCTATATTGAATAAAAAAGTCTCTATTTCTATTTCACTAAACCTACTGCTTACAACTATTGTTACGTTTTTTACAAATGTGCTTACCGTTTTCATATTCTTAATATTATCCAGCTCAGCCTCGGTGGGTAGATTCGCAGAGGGCTTGTGTCGGCCGGTCCTCGCTCCAGCGAAGTACTGGCTAATATCATGCGTCACATGGTCACTGACTACAGACACGTCATCCATTCCCCCCAGCTCCAATGACACATGGCCACCCCTCCCGTAGCTTTCAGTCTCTTCTATCGCCGGGATCTCTATCTCGCTCTTCTCTATCTTTGGGCTTGTACCCATCTCTATCGCTTCGATTATAGTCATCAACGCCTCCAATGACAAGGTATGGATGTTGTAAGCGGTTGCGGACACAACATTCTTCGATAGCAGCTTCGTTAACTCTTCGAATACATTCATACAATACACGTCACAGTCGAAGTTCAAATAGAGCTCTGTACAGAATCCAGGTATCCTGAACATTTGGGCTAGACTCTCTAAAGCCAAGTGGTGGATCTCTTTTAGTTCGTAAATAGATTTCGATGTGTCGGCGGATACGATCTCTATGATTTTCTTGAAGAATGCCTCCATTTGGAACTTCAAATGGAACCGCAGTGATTCAAATAGGAGAAAGGATACTTGCAAATCTAGCGCGAATATTGATATCCTTTCTGTGTCCAGCAACTGAAAATTACACATTCAGTTTATTAATATACATAAACAACAAAGTACAAAGGCAAAATGTCTTACAACTCATAATTATAATGGATTTCTATACACTCCACAACACAGCAGTGCATACACTGTTATTTGGCGGCTGAAATATATAAGAGGGTCCAATTTACAACCAAATATTTTAGTTAAATTATTGTATTTTATACATGCAGAACGTTTAATGTTTAGTCTGACCAAAGTAAGATATTTAGATATAACTGAATCAAGCACCACAATGCCCCAACAGTAATTTCAAATCGGCTAAAGTAATTTCACCAATTCAAAATATTAAAAAAGATATAGATTTGCAAATAAAAAAGAATCTAATTTAGGTAACATTTTCAAAAAGTTTTACTTATGGTAAGCAGATGTAAGGCAGCTGAAGCAACAGCATATAAGGCACAGTACGTACACTGAGCAGGTTCCTGCAGAGCGGGTCGCGCACCAGCTGCAGCAGCGGCGGGTAGCGCGCCAGCTGGTCGGCGGCCACCTCGAGCGCGGTGCCGGCCAGGCTCAGGCCCAGCTGCACCATGGCCGACGTGTTCTGCGGCTCCAGCGGGTTGCTCAGCGATATCAGGAACCTGCCGCAGAACAGACATCGCTACACGTCGCCTTCCTGTTATCAATTATTGCCAGCCAGACCACAGCTGGACATGGATCTCATCTAATGTTTTTGCAACTTAATAATAAATCTCAAACTCTAATAAATCCTAATTCTTCTTTGTCGTATAGCGGTGGCGTAATAGAATCCACTATCCCGTGGGTATCGCAAGAGGTTACCGGTGGAACTAAAACAGAAGATGGACAGCATTTTCTTGTAGTTAACAACCTGCCTGGCAAGCGTATCAAGTATGGTAAATATCCCACCAACTGGGCAACTTAAGGAGGAAACCTATGTTCAGACTTACAATGGACTGTAACTAAAGAATTAACGAAATCCATCTCATGATAAATAGCTACTGTAAACCATACAGCACCAGGCTTCAAAGACCAGAAGCAGAAGCTTCAAACGAAAAAGACTAGAGTATATTCAACCTAATCTATGAAATACTTTTTAACGTTTCACATTATTCATTCCGCAATAACTTTGTACAAGCGTACTCACACGATTTAAAATAACTCTTTTATGTAAATCCAAAGAATTATGAAGTTATCTATATTTCATTACAACATGTATGGTTCCTTATCACTAATTTAAATTCGAATCTTTCAAACAAATCAAAATATAAAAAAATTAACCCTTTCATCGCCATAGCCGTAATATTACGAATATTAAGGTGAATACCGTCAGCGCCGTCACGTAATATTCCCTAAATGCTCATGTTACTAGAAAAACTGCAAGGTTAATTTAAATATTTATTCAACAAATTGTCAATTACTGTGGCGCTCTCACCATGATAACACGCGTGTACTATACTTATTTGCATTTTTAGTGCTGTAAATTATCGATAATTCTAGACGAAGAAGAACAGTTAAATATTTCAGAATCGTATAATGATATTCACAGTTTCATCTACAGACAGTGATATTGAATCGGTAAGTAAATATTCATGTAAAATAAATAGTCAGGTATTTGAGAAACTTTTACACTACATTTATATTTGCTTAATTTATACATTTTTACAGCAACATAAAGAATCTTCTTGTATATGGAGTAGAATCATCATGTCAAGAAGTGATGAATCGCCGCCGTTATCGTCATCTATTCTCCCATCTATTCGACCGAAAAAGAAAATAAAAAGAAAAATTTCCAAAAATGGTAGATCAACGCAGACCGAAAATCATTACATATGCTATGTGAAATCGGAAAAAGATGACTACACAGCTTATATGACTACACAGCTTATATAAGTTTGCCCGCTTCAAGATTCTTTAAACAAAGACCAGAAGATCCTCGAAATTAGCATTTTGGTACATTAATTGCATTTGAAATGGAGTCAGTCTCATACGAGATTCGAACGCAAGTGTATATGGGCATAATAAATGTGATATATAACGCTCGGAAGATTAATATTGATTAGTTTTATGAAGAGAATTAATGCAATGTGATTAATGAAAATTAAGACTGATTAAAGCTAGTGATAATACCCAATAAGAAGAATGTTATGTATGTTGTAAAATGCTAGTAATAGGGGCATCTACCTTATACGAATAAATATAAAAGGTAAGCTTATTTTTCATCCATAAATGCGTTTCAAATAAAGCCGCGTATCGATTATGCACTCTAAGAGGTCGAACATTGTCGCGCGTTAAATTAAAATGCGTAAAATGATATTAAATATTACAATTTTTCCTATTCGTTTTTTTTTCTTTTTCTTTTCAAGATATAAAATTATAATTAGATGGTGAATCGAAAATGAACTTAGTTTATAGGTACGTCCTTTCAAAATTTGGGTCCGAAAATTTGGGTTTGACTGACGATCAGTCAGCATGAGCGTGTAATATCCAAACTATTCCATCATTCAAACCTCAGTCATGATTAATCAAACTGATTGACGCTTGCCTAGGCGTGTAATGGGCGTCTTATAATTAAATGGTGAATCGAAAATGATGAACTTAGTTTATAGGTAGGTCCTTTCCCTCCGAAAATTTGGGTTTGACTGACATCAGTCAGCATGAGCGTGTAATGTCGAAATTATTCTATCATTGAAACGTCAATCATGATTGATCGAACTGACTGACGCTTGCCTAGGCGTGTAATGGGCGTCAAAGGGTTAACCAGAATCAACTTTTTTGTTTGACGTTGTTTCAATAATAATATGTATCTTACCGTAATATTTGGATGATCAAATTTATGTTAATACGAATTATCAGTAAAATATTGCAAATAATAACCTTTACATTTTTTAATTTATTAGTTGTTTATTTAAATATTTATTTTTAGAATTACATAAATTATATGAATCATAAATTCAACAAGTTAAATTTTTATAATTTCTGTGTATCCCACTGCGACGCAGTTACGAGTAATGTAAACAGTAATGCTGCCACACACGCTCGTGACGATATGGAGTAGTGGATATTCTTACACCTTCAACGCTACATGGTAAAATAATTTTTTTTAACCTAGTGCAGTATTTTAATTATATCACTTTATCTCTAGAAATTTGCAATAAGAAATTAATATGAAGAAATGAATAAATTTTATGTTTTGTTATCTGTTTCTAATTTATTCTGGTATTAATCTAGATAAAACTGTAAATGATTACCAACTCTAATGAATCGCTATCGATTTCTCCTGGCTTTATTTTTAGGCACAACTTTAGGTCGACAGTCCATCTTCTCTTTTATATATATTTATTATGTAATTAAAAAGTCTAAACACTTATAATTAAGGAAAATAAGGACATAAATAATGCAGTTTCGTTAAAAACAGCCTTTGAAACAACTCGTCTCTGATTGGTCGAAATGGACATTACTAATTTTGTTATGTTAGTCAGGGACTTTCCCGAATTTGTTACAAAACGTTTTGTTTATGCACAGAAATCTATTGGATTTTACCGGATTTGTTCGAATCTCTCAAAGTGATCTAGTAAGAAAGATGTTTCCAGAACCAATAAAATTAAAATCGACGTTTGACATTATATGGGACTTTGCCGCCTTTGTTATTAGACCCCTGAAATATTATGTACAAAGTGAATTTGCTGTAATGCTTCACATGCAGAGTGGCGATGGCAGCACCAGATGTCTCAAACCTATGCCGCTGTTATCCATCGCCGATCATCAAATACGATCGAATGTAAAGATTTCTTATGTTTACGCGAACACTACACATTAAATGAAACAAATTTTACGGATTTTATCGCGTCCAATTTAACTTTATTAGAAACTTTATATACATTTAACAGTTATATCTATTGACGATATACATACATATTTAATATATACGGAACTTAACAATCTATCAGATACCGTGAGATTTTTCTGGAATAAACCAAATAATGCTATATTGTCACGTATGTTCCATAAAGTATAGTATCATTACTTTTTATTAAAACTACCATTGTATTACAATAACTTTTTATTAATTAAAATGTATTTTGTTAAATTGAAATGAAGTGAGAAAAAAATAATTTTAATAAATCAGATTTCAAATATTCAGAATCATCATGATCTGCATACTATTAAGAAAAATGTATTGTTTACTATCTTTACGATTCATTCCAACTTATATAAAGTAAAACATTGTTAAATTACCCAGATGTGATAAGAATTAAGCAATTCAAAGACGTGTGAATTCTGAATTGTCACAAACTAGCTCTAATTCCCAAAATGGGCTTGTATGTAATAGTATGTGTCGGGTGGAAGGAAAAGGGGAGATCTCCCACCGGGCAAGGTGTTCTGCCCGGGAAGCGGCCAACGCTCCGAGTGGTAGTTAGGAGCTATTCTATATATGCTGCTTTAATTTCGGAACTTTGATAGCGCGATTTAGGCTTCGATGTGTTTCGCTTGTGGCGCGACGACAGCGCCGCCACAAGTAGATCATTTTTTTTATACGATTACCCATGATATTTCCTTGTCTGCGGTGATTCTGGCAACACTGAATAAATTATGCCCTTGTGCAATTTATGCATGGAACCAGCCTCCACGATAAAGAAGAAAATCATACTGGAGGAGTAACTTTTCTTTAAAAAACTGTGTTTAAATCGTACCTGAACAACTCACGCACGCAAACAAGTCCGTAAGGCTGCAGGTCGACTGTATCCTCTTGCGGAGTGAATCTGATGCCGCGGTCGTTCACATATTCCTCGAGCTTCTCATCACCTTCTTTTTGCGTTTCTGCTTTGTTTTCTGTTGTTTCCGCTGATTTGAGCGAATCTGAAATGAAAATTGGTGCTCGATTCTGAATTTCCACAGCGCTAACATTCACAAGCTTTGAATGTCAAAGGAAATTGGCCGAACCGTGACAGAAGTTCAGCCCGGGGTTGGAACAAATCGTCAGCTACTACGGGGTATCTTTAGTCATAATAATAGTCGTTTATTTCTTGTTGGTGATTCACAGATGTTATTTTACACATGAGCCCTATAGGGGCGATACATCATCATCATCATTAAAGCCCATCACAAGGCCCCTGCTGAGCATAGGCATCATCTTCTTGCATATCTTACCAGGTCGTCATACCTTTTCCAGTTGTCGGACATTTTTTTTTTTACATTATAAGGGTGACAAACGAACACACAGTCCACCCGATGGTAAGTGTTTGCTGTGGCCCATAGAAATCAACATTTCTATTCTCGATTACAAATCAAAATACGGGTGCGTTATCACCCGTGAGGACTAAGATGGAATGCCTCATTTCCAGTAAAACGGGTCCCCGGTTCTCTACACTCACCATACGAAACAAAGCAGCGTTAAGCTGCTGGTATTCTGTGAGAGCGTGGTCCTTCCCCGGTCGAGCCGACCCATTCGTGCTACAACTATACTAATAATATAGCTGCAGCGTGGCTCTACCACGTATAGATGGCTCAAAACTAATCTTTGTGACGTTTCTTGGCGGATTCTTGTGTTCAATAGTGGACTTGTGAAGTGCTGTAAAGATGATGATGATGATGATGTTATTTTAATTCGTTGGTATATTGAATGCTTTTATTATTAAAGAATTGATAAAGTTATTTTAATTAGTCGGTATATTGAATGTTCTTATTATTAAAGAATTACCTTCTTTGGACTCTTCGGCAACTTCGTCAGTCTTCTGTGTTTCTTCTGGCTCACTTTTCTGTGATTCTTCTCCCTCTGTGTTGCTGACGCATTTCTCCAGCAACTGCGTTATAGTCGTGTTCCCATTGGCAAGGTCCATCGAGGAGTGACGGCCATGCTTCTTGGCGGGACTCTTGAGTGGCTGGTCGACCGGCTCTATCGTTATTTCAGCTTCGTTTATTAGATTCTTATCTTGACTGAAAAAAAAATCATAGGTTGTAAGGGTTCTCAGAGACCTCAACTAAACAAATTGGAGAGCGGACCCTGAAGGTCCTTACCACGGTCCATCGTCAACATCATTGCAGGCCTTCATGATCTCTACTGCTGAACATATGCCTCCGCAAGGAATGCCATAAAACACAGTTCCGAGCCATCTGCATCCTTAGACTTCCCGCATATCTTACGAAGCTGTCACTCTATCTAATAGGGGAGAGGATATCTCTACATTACGCTTAGCAGCATGAGACCGCCTCTCGAAAACATTTCTTCCCCATCGGTCGAAGATTTTTGAGTTTTATGGCCGGCCCATTGCCACTTCAGCTACTGATTCGTTGCGCTGTTTTTTCTTTATAGGATAAGGGTGACAAACGAGCACACAGACCACCTGATGGTAAGTGGTTGTTGTGTCCCATAGACTACCATTGTATTACAATATAATATCTACATCTATCATCGATTAATGCAGATGCGTTATCACCCGTGTGGACTAAGACGGAATGCCTCCTTCCCAGTAAAAAGGGTCTCCGGTTCTCTACACTCACCATACGAAACACAAACATTTTACGCTGGTATTCTGTGAGAGTGTGGTCTTTCCCCGGTCGAGTCTAACGATTGCGGTTGGGCTTTAATTCTGTCTTAGCATCAACTTCCGAATGTGAAATTATTTTATTCTTTCTAGTTCTTTGAAGTTGGTTTTTACTATTTTATAAAAATATTTTTTTAAGAAGCTATGTTCTTCATGATTACATAGACGTTTTTCGAAGGTGAGTGATGTACTCGCCATTGATGTTAATACCGTATCCTTTCCAGTGCGCTAGCTTGAAAACGTCTTATAATGCAGCGATGAAGAGTTTCAGGAATATAACGTCACCCTGTCTTACACCTCACTGCAGTTGGATAGGTTTCGTACTCTGGTTCTGTACTCGGATAGCCATCGTAGTCATGCAGCAGCTATATTAATAGTATAGTTGTAGCACGAATGGGTCTGCTCGACTGGGGAAGGACCACGCTCTCACAGAATACCAGCGTAAAATAGCAACTTAATGCTGCTGTGTTTCGTATGGTGAGTGTAGAGAACCGGAGACCCTTTTTACTGCGAAAGAGGCATTCTATCTTAGTCCTCACGGCTGACAACGCATGTGCATTTAAATTCGCAAACGAAGATAGATGCAGATGTCTGTGGGCCACAGCAACCACTTACCATCAGGTCGACTGTGTGCTCGTTTGTCACCCTTATCCTATAAAATGATAGATATGTGGATAGATAACAGTAAAAAGCTAATAACACGTAAAATAGATGAAAATGTATTTGCTTAAAAAAATGGAACACAAGATGTTCAAAATGTGGAACTGACATGTTTTGCCCATACCGGTAGCGGGAAGCAGTATCGAACGTGCGAAACGTCTAATACTACCATCGTCGCACCGCCTGCTAAGCGTGACAGTTAAAGCAAATCTTCCCAAAAAAGGCGGAAATACATATGCTTATATATTTATTTCACGTAACGGCACCAATTATAATATGGTGAGACGAAGTATTGCAGACACTGACCATGACAACGCACTAACAGATCTTTGTACAGCACGTGTAGATAGTGTAGATAGATAGCACATATCAAGCAGTGTACTTTAAGTTGATGATGATGAAGAAGAACTATATAAGTGACTTACTTATGGCTGTGTATGGCGTCAGTTTTTGTATCCACTTCAGGTCCGTTTTCGACTGCATTGGGGTTAGTCTGATCCGTGAGGGATGACTTCCTGTCTAGTGAATTTGTACCTGAAATAAAAATACGTAACATTTATACTAAGTAAACACATGAGAATTTGTTAAATGCTGAAGTATTATCATTCATATTAAAATAAAAGTGATGCGATTTTGTTATTGTAAATGTCGTGTAGGCTGTAGGCGCGTAGGTTCGGAAAACCGAAAAAATGTAAATTGTTTGGACCGGTATTTGATGAATTGTTTTCTACCGCTTTAAAAAGGAGAAGACACTCAATTCGAATGTACGTTCTTTTTTATGTGTGTTACCTCATAACTTTTTCCTAGGTGAACCGATTTCGATGATTTTTATTTGATAGCTGGTGCTTCTCATGTGATCCCATAGAAATTTGATATATCTTTATATATAAAAATTACGTGTCACATTGTTTGTCCGCGATGGACTCCTAAACTACTGAACTGATTTCAATGAAATTTTGCACACTGTGTGAATTTTGGTCCAACTTGAGAGATAGGATAGTTTTTATCGCGATAAATGACCCTCAAAATTTTTTATTGCGAATTTAAGGATTTTTATAGGAAGGATCGTTGGAAAGGGCAGAACAAAGTCTGCCTGGTGAGCTAGTATATATATATATATATAGAATAGAATAATAGAATAGAATAATTTTTTATTCAATATCGATTATTACATAATTCTTATTGAAAGTCATTTTTTATCTACCACTGGTTCGGAAAATACCTCTGTTCTGGGAAGAACCAGCAAGAAACCCAGCGGGACTTTTTTTTTCAAACAATTTCGTTTATACAATTTTTAAATAATTTTTCATAGAACCAGCATGGTGGCGATCACCTTATTCCCAGGGGTTATTTTCATTCATGTATTCCTTGATATTATAATAACCCTTTTTGTAAAGTTTTTCTTTAATACAACTTTTAAACTTGTTTATTGACAAACTTTGAACATGTTCTGGGATTTTGTTGTAAAAGCGTATACATTGCCCCATAAATGAATTACTGATTCTGTGGAGTCTAGTGACTGGTATTACAAGCTTATGTTTGTTCCTAGTGTTTAAAGTATGCACATCCTTATTCTTATTAAAGCTGTTTATGTTTTTATGTACATACATTACATTTTCATAAATATATTGCGATGTCAAAGTTAATATGTTTATTTCTTTAAATTTTAGTCTGAGGGACTCTTTACAATTTAGGTTGTAAATCGCCCGAACGTCTCTCTTTTGCAAAACAAATATAGCTTCAATATCAGTCGCATTACCCCATAGCAAAATTCCATAAGACATTACGCTATGAAAGTAACTAAAATACACTAACCTAGCTGTCTCAACATCTGTGAGACTTCTAATCTTTCTTACAGCATATGCTGCAGAACTAAGTCTGCTTGCTAATTTAGATATATGGGGGCCCCATTGAAGTTTCGCGTCAATAGTAATACCGAGAAAAACAGTGGTATCCACAAGACTCAACTCCTCCCCATTTAACAGCACATTGGTATTCGAATGTTTTACATTAGGTATTGTAAATTTAATACACTTTGTCTTATTGCCGTTCAAGAGCATATTGTTGGCGTTAAACCAATGTACTAATATCGATAGAGCATTATTTACATCGTCATAATTAATTAACCGCCGTTTGAGTTTGAAAATTAAAGAGATAGTCCCCTACAAGATAAAGTAAGTCATTAATATAGATTAAAAACAGGAATGGGCCAAGAATCGAGCCCTGAGGAACGCCCATTGACACTACCGATCCGGAGGAACCTTTACCATTGATCATCAATTTTATATATATAAAATAGTGTTTGAGATATCCTTAATTATTTATATTTAAGTCGGTTATACATGGTTGTATATAACTAATAGACTACGGATTGTTTGTAGTGCGTATCTGTGTATCTGTATATCTGTGTCTGTGGCATCATAGCTCCAGAACGAAAGAACCGAATTTGATTAAGTTTTTTTTTGGTTTGAAAGTCTTAATCGAGTGTCCCTAGCTATGTTACAAGAAAGCTTTTCTCTCAGTCGTTTGAAGATCATCAGTTCTTTTAGATTCGGGTTTTTTGTAATTTTTAATTTATGTGCATAACCAGAGCTTGTGTTAGGTCACATTTGTGCATAAATCAAACGTTAATTAGGATCGTTTTTTTTAAATTGGGTAAGGGTAAAACGAGCACACAGTCCACCTGATGGTAACTAGTTGCTGTGTGCTCTCAACTATGAATCAAAGTGCAGATGCATTGTTACCGTGATGGCTAAGATAGAATGCCGCGTTTCCAGTAAAAGGGGTCTCCAGTTCTCTACACTCACCATACGAAATACAGGAGCGTTAAGCTGCTATTTTACGCTGGTATTCTGTGAGAGCGTGGTCCTTCTCCGGTCGAGCCGACCCATTCGTGCTACAACTATATAACCTTGTGACCTGAACACAGCAGTACAAGCGCTGTTATTTGGCGGCCTACCATTATAGTTAAATGCAGCGACAAGGTGGAAGTTGAGGAACTTTTACACGGTCGTGTGGTTCCTTTTTATATAAGACTAGCTGTTCCCCGCGATTTCGCCCGCGTTACTATTGGATTTCAAGGGTTTTAATTTTTTTTCCGCGGAACCCTAATTCTTTTACTTAAATAAAAGTAGTCTAAGTTACTCCTTATAATAGCAGCTATCTGCCAGTAAAAATCCCATCGAAATCGATACAACCGTTTCGGAGATTAGCCGGAACAAACAGACAGACAAAGAGACAAAAATTTTAAAAATTGTGTTTTTGTTATTGGTACCGTATATACTTTCATATGCAAATAGTAAAAAGCTGTTATTTTGACATTACTAACAGACACTTCAATTTTATTTATTTGTATAGATACTGTCTGGGATCGTACCATCCTTGTTACCTAACCTAACGTTAAAACTTTAAAACACAATACCTACATGAGCTATGTTCATTCAACAGAGCAGCTATTTCGCTCTGGAATCGAAGACATTTTACAAAATTCACCCACAGATATAGCACAGTTTTTTCATTATACAAAATAACTTTCGCTAGCGAGTCCAATAGTATTATTTTCACTGTATTTTTTATAAAACGCATTTTAATGTCAACCATTCACAACACTATTTTTTTATTTATTTTTTCATTCAAATAGTTTTAAGACAATTTAAATTAAATAGGAGAAATGTTTGCATACGTTTCGAGTTATTGAACCTAAGTGACGCACATTTTTTGATAAAGAATTTAGAGAAGTTTCCGAGACACGATAACATAGAAATACGTTAAGATCTAAATATAAACAATAACAAATACGAATAGGGTTGCTATTGCTACTGTTTTAATATTATATTATTTTATTTCAAATTCTTTTTAACAGTAGTACCAAATACAAGTTTTTCATTTTTAAAGTCTACTACTTTCATTTTAAATAATCTGTTTTTTTATTTGTTGTAATTTAAAGCTTTCGCATTATTCTACACATAATACTAATTATTCTTAAATAATCAGTATTATGAATATATAATAGAGAATACTCTCTTCAAGAAATAGTTAAACCAACTAGCAATTTATAGTTTTCGTTTGTTGTATAAGTTAACGGCACCTTGTATCTATACAAATAAATAAAATTGAAGTGTCTGTTCGTAATGCCAAAATAACAGCTTTTTACTAAATACATATGAAAGTGTATACGGTACTTATAACAAAAACACAATTTTTAAAATTTTTGTCTGTCTATCTGTCTGTCTGTTTGTTCCGGCTAATCTCCGAAATGGTTAGACCGATTTTGACGGGACTTTCATTGGCAAATAGATGATGTTATGAGGAGTAACTTAAGCTACTTTTATTTTAGAAAAATATGGGTTCCGCGTAAAAAAAAAAAAAAAACCCTATATTATATGCGGGCGAAATCGCGGGGAACAGCTAGTATTCTATAACAAAGTAAATTCTGGTAAAATTACACATAAACATTTATAACATTACAAAAAACATGCTCTCACAATTTAATTCGTTTGCAGGCAAATACTCGTAAGTCGTGGTGTCTCAGAAAACCGTGGTAGCCCGGAGGCTAAGCGCTTTTTTTTTAATATTATTCTAAGCCAGCGTTTAACTACAATCCCACCTGATGGTAAGTGGTGATGTAGCCTAAGACGGTGAAGCGCACTGACATAACAAAAGCCTATTCACTCTTGTTGCTGTAAATTTCACAATACGATAACATCCCAAGTCGAATCCCGCTGTAACCAATGAAATTATTAATTGCAAATTTTAATTGCTGATTTACAACGTGCTTAGCGACGAAGGAAAACTGAGGAATAAAATGATTTCGAAAATATTTAACGTCCGACAACTGCCCTTGCCTACCCTTTTAGATACGAAAGGAGGCCTGTTTCCAGCTGTTTTTTTTTTTTTTTATAGGAGAGGGGGCAAACGAACATGCGGCTCACCTGATGGTAAGTGTCTACCGCCGCCCATGAACAACCGCAACACCAGGGGAATTGCAGATGCGTTGCCGGCCTTTTAAAAAGGAGTAGGCTCTTTTCTTGAAGGTTCCTAAGTCGTATCGGTCCGGAAAAATCGCTGGTGGTAAACTATTCCACAAGGAAGTTGTGCGAGGAAGAAAACATCTTCTAAATCGCACAGTGGTGGACCGCCAATCATCCAGATGGTGTGGATGGTATCGGGAGTTCTGCCGCGATGTGCGTTCGTGAAATTTGGCGGCTGGGATTAATCCGAACAATTCCTCAGAGCACTCCCCATGGTAAATGCGAAAGAAAATGCTAAGAGATGCAACATCTCTTCGCAGTGCCAATGAGTCGAGCCGATCGGAAAGAACTCGGTCGTCGACGATTCGAGCCGCTCTGCGCTGGATGCGGTCAAGTGGAAGAAGCTGGCACTGGGGAGCCCCAGCCCAGAGATGGGAACAGTATTCCATGTGAGGCCGAACCTGCGCCTTGTAAAGTTGCAGGCGTTGAGCCGGCATGAAATACTGTCCCGCTCTACTGAGCACGCCAAGCTTTTTAGAGGCCAATTTGGCCTTCTCTTCCAAG